CAAATCAAAACCTCAATGAGATACCACCTCACACCAGTCAGAATGGCTAAAATTAACAAGTCAGGAAATGAGAGATGTTGGCGGGGATGCAGAGAAAGGGGAACCCTCCTACACTGTTGGTGGGAGTGCAAGCTGGTGCCGCCACTCTGGAAAACAGTATGGATGTTCCTCAAAAAGTTGAAAGTAGAGCTACCCTATGACTCAGCAATTGCACTACTTGGGTTTTTACCCCAAAGATACAAACGTAGTGATCTGAAGGGGTACCTGCACCCCAATGTTTATAGCAGCAATGTCCACAATAGCCAAACTATGTAAAGAGCCCAGGTGTCTTTCAACAGATGAATGGATAAAGATGTGGTTTCTGTATACCATGGAATACTACTCAGCCATCAAAAAAAAAAAAAAAGAAATCTTGCCATTTGCAATGACATGGATGGAACTACAGGGTATTATGCTAAGCGAAATAAGTCAATCAGAGAAAGACAGTTATATGATCTCCCTCATGTGGGATTTAAGAAACAAAAGGGAGGATCATAGGGGAAGAGAGGAAAAAATGAAACGACGAAATCAGAGAGGGAGACAAACCGTAAGAGACTCTTGATCATGGGAAGTGGACTGAGCGTTGCTGGAGGGGAGGGGGTTGGGGGATGGGATAACTGGGTGATGGGCATTAAGGAGGGCACATGATGTAATGAGCACTGGGTACTATATAAGACCGATGAATCACTGAACCCTACCTTTGACAATAATAATGTTATGTGTTAATTAGTTGAATTTAAATAAAAATTTTAAAACTATAAAAAAACAAGAGTAGCGACAAATACTACCCATGGTAATGTTTAAGAAAAATGGCTCTATTAAGGCAGGAAGATCAGCAAGGAAGAAGACTGCAGAAATAGGTAGGCTGAGGGTTTCACAAATGAGACCTCTTGTGGAACATGGTTTGGGTCCATTGACTTTCTGAATGACAGCCAAGTAGGCCCCACCACTATAGAATTAATGTTTTGCATAAAAGGAGAGGTAATCCCTAGGGCAGTAGGAGTCCAGACTATAAAATACTTGGGTAAAAAGTGGTTACCTTGTACTGAATGGGGGAAAAGAAGCTTCCAGGGGCAGTGGTGGAAGGTGTCTGTGGGGTGGCAGGCAGGAGGAGTTGGACAGCCCACACGTCTCAGCCCTCCTCCTTTTACATTTGTAGGTTGTCTCCAAACACCATGGTGACCCCCCACAAGAAGAGCATGCTAGGAAATGGGAACTACGATGTGAACGTCATTATGGCGGCACTTCAAACCAAAGGCTATGAAGCTGTCTGGTGGGACAAGCGCAGGTAATCTTGACTTGATGAGAACAGGCACCCGGGCCCGGGCCCAGGAGGTGTTCCCGCTGAGAACCTTGGGGAGTTGACGCCTTTTCTCTTCTGCAGGGATGTCAGTGCCATTGCTCTCACGAACGTCATGGGCTTCATCATGAATCTGCCCTCCAGCCTGTGCTGGGGTCCACTGAAGTTGCCTCTCAAAAGGCAGCACTGGATCTGTGTTCGAGAGGTGGGAGGTGCCTACTACAACCTCGACTCCAAACTGAAGATGCCCGAGTGGATTGGAGGCGAGAGCGAGCTCAGGTACCTGTTGTGAATGGGCCGGGCTCCTTCCTTTGGTGCGTTAGGGAAGTTGAGCCCATCTTTGGTTATTTGACGAAGGAGATGAAATCCCTAGCGACTTGGATCCTCTCCCCGCCCTGCTTAGAATCATGGTCTCAGACTTGAAAGACCTGTATCTTTGATGGCCCCTGAGGATGTGAAGTCCCTTTGGTAGAGAAGTTCCAGCAGCCAGAATGCTGGCCGCCTGGTCTGGTAGGACCAGCATCGTAACATTCTCTATGCGTAGACAAATGGGATGGTACAGCTGCCAGTTCAGAACGAAGACAGACATTTAGACCAGAAAGGGCTAAGTTTCTCTGAGACCAAAGAAGAAACTTTTTTTTTTTTTTAACAATGACAAGGCCCTTACTTGAGTACTTTGGGCTGGCTCTGTTCCTCGCAGAACTAGATGCTGTCGGCAGTTATAGGAGGATGAATGAAAATTCAGGTTGGCAATGAGCTGGACAGGTTGAAGGGGTTGCCAGATGTGGAACCCTGCAAGAACAGATCCCTCCGAGAGTGTCTTTAGGACTGCCAAGGGCGTAAATGATGAGGTCACTGGGGAGCACGCGGCCCCGAGGCTGGAGTTTGCAGTTTTACCAGCATTTCATTTTCTCTCATCTACCCTTTGTTCCCATAGGAAATTTCTCAAACATCACTTGCGAGGAAAGAACTGTGAACTCCTGCTGGTGGTGCCAGAAGAGGTGGAGGCCCGTCAGAGTTGGAGGGCTGACGTGTAATGCAGTTCTACCCAACCTTCCCTCCCCTCGGCCCCCCAAGTCCTCTGTCATGTGTTGTGGCCTATCCAGCGGGTCTGCCCTTGCCACTCCCCCAAACATCTCATTGGGTTTCCCCTCCGATTTGACAGTGCAATAGGACAGATGTGTGGACGGTTACAAGAACCACCACCCAGCGTTACTCATTCCTGGGACAGGAAGGTAGGAGCTCTGTGTGCTTAGGGCGGAGCTGTGGAAGACCCTTGTTTTCTTTGAGAGAGGAGGAAGAAAGGTGGGTCCGATCTTACTTTCCCCATGCCTACGAGGACTTGACAGAGGCTCTGCTGGAGCACACTGCTGCTGTGACTCACCTGGAGATGCTGCCTCCACTTCCCCTTTCCTGGCAACCAGTGGGTCTGAAGACATGCACAGCCCATGTGACTGGCTTGACGGACCCAGAGCATAACGGCCTCTCAGGAAACCATCTCCCAAACCCCAGCAGTGGTACAGCATGCCATCTCCAACCCTTAATGCCACCCATTACCCCCATTTTGAGGGTGGTTTATGGCCATCCTTGGAGTTTTCTAATGAAACATTCTCTAGTATTCCATGCCGGGTGGTTGACTCCTGCAATATTCTAGTGTGCCAGGGTGAGCTAGATACCTAAGAGGACATGGCAGAAGGCAGACTGGGGCAGGCACAGATAGCCTGTCGGCCTCACTCCATCATTGTCCCTGCCACTTCACTACATTGATTTCAGAGGCTCTGGGGCACAAGACAGGCCAGAGGGCAGTTTTTCCAGTTGACACACTCCGGCAAAATCAGGAAACAAGTCTGCTTTCGATATCAAATTCCACTAGTTTGAGAAACAGTTGAGTGAGGAAAAGTATTGTGAAGATAAGCTACTCAGAGAGTAAGAGCGGCTAGAATTGGTAGAAGTCCTAGGCTCGGAGTCACTATAGTGACAAGAATCAGAACCCTCAAGTAGGGTGTTTACGTGCATTATGTTATAGGACCTGGATTTGTCATCTTTAGTTTCCTTTACAAATCAACGAGAATTGATCTACCCCCTACCTCTTTAAATAGTTGTAGGCCACTTTTCTCCCGTAACTTTGGAAAACAAGAGAAGGAAGGGAAGTATCCTACCACACTGTCACCAAAGTGGTTGTGGTTGCCTCAAGACAGGTGGATAGACAGCCTGTCTACCCCTTACAGTTCGGTGGTCTTGGCGGGTCTGAGAGCTGCCCCACTGGCCAGACGTCTCTCCAGCAGCAAAGCCAGCCTGGGGCTTGCATGTCAAGCCTGAGCAAGCTTAACAGGATGAAGCTGAGGCTTTCTCCCCACTGTGACTGGAGTGCATGTTTACACCAGCACTTTTTCTGCACATGTATCTTCAATCCAACAAGGCCGTTTTTTATGCTGAGTAACAGGCCACCAAGCGGCTACTGCATCACACCCTCTCAGCAACTGGCTGCAGTCTCTTCTGCACCATTTTCCACACCAGACCTGCTTGGCACCACAGGGAGCTCTTTACCCCTGCACAATGACATTCCAACCACCACCAGCCAGAAGTTACAGCCAACCTGATTGTCACAAGCAGGACCTTGGGTCCATGGGCACTGTCAGTGATAGTAAGCCATCTCCTGGGAGGACAGGGAACTCCTCTCCACCAGTCTGCTTGGGCCTGTGCAAATGGCACTTCAGAGGAGTCCCTGTGCACTTGAGTCCATGAGCCAATGGGATATGCAAAGACGCTTAAACATTTCAGGGCTGGTTTCTCTGTTCATATCCAATTTTGGTGCTTAGGAACAGGGACCCATGCTGATGCCCAAGGGCAAAAAGCCCCACTTCCTTTAAGGAAGGGGGCAGGCCTGACCCTGATGCCCAATAAGGGGCAACCCTAGGCTTTTTGTTTTTCTTGCTTTTATTCCTTTTTTTTGTTGTTGGCCTTGTGCTGGGTTTGTTTACAAAAGATGTATTTTGTTTAACCAAATATTAAAAATGGAAAACTCCATACATAAATCTCATCTGTCTGCCTGAATTCTGTAATTACGTATGTGGAGGGGGAAAAAAGTAAACTTTAGTCTAACAGTGCTTTAGAAGAAAAACTCACTACCATTCTAAACCATTTTTTAGACCTATTTTGTGCTTTGGTCAAACCTCTCAAGCCTCAAAAATCCAGACAAGATATTCACTAAGTCGGATTTGGTTCAAAAGCCTGAGACATTTTTCAGTTCAAGAACTAGGCTCAACAGTCTGAGGAATGCTAATCTTAAGTACAGGTTTTCTTTACCAGCCCTGACAGGTGACCAGTGTTTTTCTCTGGTTAACAAGGTCAAGATCACATAGCAGAGGCCGTACTGGATCCAGCATTTCCTATGCAGTCTGGTAGATGACTTAACCTTTCTGTGGCTGTTTCCTCCTCTGTAAAATCGGAATAGTACTACACCCTAAACTGTATAGTATTATTCTGATAAATATGATACACATAAAAGGCTCACTACTGTTAATAGCACAGTGCTAATAAAAATTTGTTAAATGGAAAAACCGCAAAGTTCAAAGACAAGGCTACAGTTGGATTCATAATCAGCTCATCTCAGCAATTAGTTTTAAAAGAACAAACCAAAAAAGTTCTATTTGCCACCCTTCCCTCCCTAGACCAGAAATCAGTATTATGTTATTCCCTATAAATCCTTTATGTCACTGTAGATTGTGCAAGTACACGGACCTAGTCCTTTGTTGGTGGATCTGAAAATGATTGCCTGAATTCAGGGCAAAGATTACTATTAAGAGGTTCTTGGCCAGAAATAAACATCTTTTTCACTTTGGGAAGTTTAACTAACTTGGACCTGAGGGGTCAAACAGTGTTAAATGGCGGTGGCTAGCTGAGCTGAGAGGAAATGTGAGGGGCAGTCTAAAGTGATTTCGAGTTGTGTATCACAAGTACATAGATGACACTTTCCATTGGAATCGTTTTTAATATTTAAATACAAAAAGTGAGCACTTACTTTTTTTTTTTTTAGACAGACACACAGGTCTCTCATAGCCAAAATGGGCAGAGGAAATGAGCTCCTACTCTGTCCATCCTATGGTTGAAACTGCTGCCCGGCCCTCCCTCCTTTCCAACATAGGAATTCACAGTGGCTGTGTTACACTACGGTTGTAATGCATTGTGTATTTCATATCGTGTGCATGTCCCTTCCCAACATCTCCATGCTTAAAAACAAAAATGGTCAGGGGTACATCCTTCCCAGTGGCATCAGTTCCTATGTCACAATGGGATAGTGAGATCTTCCGGTCATGAGTGACTTAGTGAAAGGGGTGGGATGGCCAGAGCTGGAGTAACCGTCTGCATTCCTGAACTCGTATCAGAGTGAGAAGAGAAGAAATGGGACAGCGTGGAGGGCACGGTTGCAAGTTGGGAGTCTCCGTGAGACACTGGGGAGAACTGTCCCCACCAGGTTTAGATAGATCAATGTGCCAAAGTTTAAAAAAAAAAAAAAAAAAATCCAAATAATCAGCAGTTCAAACACTATTGAATTTGCAAACTTGTCCCACCGAGACAAGTCATATAGCAGTAGCAATCTAGATCTTTCCAGGAAGTGAAGGTAGAGCCCCTGGCATTCCTCCTGAGAGCCCTGTGTTAGGCCCTAGAAGTATCTGGAAAAGAAAAGGAGGGGTATAAGGCATCACACAAGCCTAGGGATCACATTTCCACTTAACTGACTGGGCCGACAAGGTCTACACAAACTGCTGAGCACAGTCAGGTACCTAAAAAAGCATGGGCTGGAGCCCAATCTCTACCCACAAGTAACTGCTGGTCTCTGCAGGTGCTGGGAAATCAACAACTTGCCTCTCCACCACTGGCAACAGGCCCAGGGGCTGGGCTCACCTGCCGCTGCTGCAGTTGCTGTTGCTGCTCCATTTGCAACTTCTCAGTCTCAAAGACAACAGGAAGAACCAGGATCATGAAGGAAGTCGTCCCAATCCACAAGGCTGCCCTGGAAAACCTGCAGAGGGAGTGTGAGCATGAAAGCGAGACACAAAAACGGGCCCGCTTCACCAAGGAACCAGTAACCAAACCTCTCACGCGCCCATGTTTTTGACAGGCGTGTTTCTACCCAACCCTTGCACCATACTCCTACCAGAAACAGGACGAGCAGTTCTGCCGGCCGTTTATCTCGTGCCAGCAGTTCCAACATTCTCCTGAGTTCTTACAAAGCTACTTATACAGCATATTAATTACCTCACATAATGCGAAACGATCCTCCCAACAACCCCGACCCGTAAGAACTGCCACTTTAGGGAAAGGAAATGGAGACCAAGAAAGGTTAAGGTACCCACCAGCCCAAGGTCACTCAGTGGTCTAGGTGGCGGGCCAACTCCCGTTTGCTACTTCCAAATCCCATGCTCATTCGCGGCACTTCAGTCACCCCAGGCACGCCCCAATATCTTTGCCCTCGTCCCTTACCTGTACATTTTCTGAGCCACAAAGAGGGAGAGATCAAAAGTCGCTCCAGCCGCGGACCGGACCCTCTCTGGGAACATCTCCGTCAGACCCCACAGTCTCTCCGACAGGGTCTCATCTAGCTGTGGTGGAGGCGGCGCGGGTCTTGACCGAAGCAACGGCAACCACCCCCTGGGGCTAGGGCACCCTGCCGCGGCCCAGTGGGGGCCCTAACCCCGCCTCCCGGAGAAGACACCTCCCCCCGACCTCTCCGGGCTCCGCGACGCGCCTTCGTCCGAATCCCGCAGCACGCGGAGCTCACACCCCCGAGCCGGTCGCTCCCCGCCCGTAACTTCGCACCCCGCCCCACACCGCAGGGCCCCAGTACCTCCTCGTCGTCTTCCTCCTCCAGCTCCTCCTCAGTCTTCTCGGAATCGCCTTTCGGAAGCAATTCGTCCGGGGACAGAGGCGCCCCAGGACCGCCGGCGGCGGCGGCGGCGGCGGCGGCGGCCATGGCTGCAGGGAGACACCGGAAGCGGAAGAGAGGAGGCAAGTGCAGCATCTCTGGCGGACAGAGGTGCTCTTCCGGGAGCTGGAGGCTGAAGTGCTGCGGAAGAACGACGCCTTCTGGCCGGCGGACTTCGGCTTTCTGCCAAGTAAGAAACACCTGGGAAATTTGATCCCGGTACAGAGTCGCGGTGCTTCCGCGGTAGTCATTCTCTTCGGTTTAGGGTGGGCCCAGAAATCTGCATTTAATAAGCTCCCAGGGGCCACACTGAGACAAACACTAATCCAGTCTCATTTCCCCGAGGGGTGTGTTATTTGGTAGGAGTTAGATATTTGGAGGTTTATTGGTCTTTTGGGAAAAGGTCAAGTGAACAGTGCCAATGTACTAAGACAAAGGCAAGAATTAGCACTTATATACTTGAGTACCAGGCATTGTGTGTCTGTGTACTAATTTAATCGTCACAGCAACCCACTGAGGTATGTACTATCATCCCTGGTCTAGAAATAAGGAAGTTGAGGCACAGTACAGGGGTGTGTGGCAAGTCCTTCTGAAGGATATAGTTCTTTTTTTTTTTAATTTATTTTTTTATTTTATATTTTTTAAATTATGTTCAATTAGCCAACATACAGTACATCATTAGTTTTTGATGTAGTGTTCAACGACTCATTAGTTGCGTATAATACCCAGTGCTCATCCCATCATGTGCCCTCCTTAATACCCATCACCCGGTTACCCCATACCCCACCCCCTCCCTTCTATAACCCTCAGTTTGGTTCCCGGAGTCCAGAGTCTCTCATGAAGGATATATTTCTAGAAGTAAGTTTGCCGGCCAAAAAGTATGAACATTTAGTACTTTGCTTGATATTAGATAATTGCCCTCGAAATTATATCATATACTTTAATAATTGTAAATGGAAGTGTCCTTTTCCCCACACTGTCCCCAGCATTAGGTATTAGCCATATTTTAATTTTTTACCTTGATGGATTAAATGCTTCTTTTTATAATGTGTCACACAAGTTCTTTTTTTATTTTATTTATTTGAGAGAGAGAGCGCACAAGTAGGGGTGGGGGCAGAGGGAGAGGGAGAAGCAGGCTCCTTGCTGAGCGGGGAGCACATCACAGGCCTCTACCCCAGTACCCTGAGATCTTTTTTTTTTTAAGATTTTGTTTATTTATTTGACAGAGAGAGACACAGCGAGAGAGGGAACACAAGCAGGGGGAGCAGGAGAGGGAGAAGCAGGCTTCCGCGGAGCAGGGAGCCCTATGCTGGGCTCGATCCCAGGACCCTGAAATCATGACTTGAGCGGAAGACAGATGCCCAACCGACTGAGCCACCCAGGTGCCCCTCACACAAGTTCTTAATACAAGGGTTATTTGATAAACACTTTGGCCAGCTGACCATGGAATCAGAGAATCTAAGGACTGAACAGTCCACGTCTCTATCTGATGCAGGACCATGTCCTTCATCCTGTGCTTACATAAGGAGGGGCAGGTATGTTTGCACTTCCTCCTGTAGCAGTCCTTGGTCCTTTTCAGCTCCAAACAGGGCAGCACTGACCATAGAAAGTTTTTATGTTGGGACGCCTGGGTGGCTCAGTTGGTTGCGCGGCTGCCTTTGGCTCAGGTCATGATCCCAGGGTCCTGGGATCAAGTCCTGCATCTGGCTTCCTGCTCAGCAGGGAGACCGCTTCTCCCTCTGCCCGCTGCTCCCCTTGCTTGTATACACTTGTGCTCGCTCTCTCTCTCTCTGACAAATAAATAAAATCTTAAAAAAAAAAAAAGTTTTTATGTCTCAAAACGGTGCTTACTGTATTATTCCATTACATAAAGTTCAAAAACCGGCAAAACCAATCTATGGTGTGGATTAGTGATTCCCTTTGAATACCTCAGAGGGGATAATATTTGGTAAGGAGCAGGGCGCCTGGGTGGCTCAGTCGTTAAGCGTCTGCCTTTGGCTCAGGTCATGATCCCAGGGTCCTGGGATCGAGCCCCACGTCGGGCTCCCCGCTCCGCGGGAAGCCTGCTTCTCCCTCCCCTGCTCCCCCTGCTTGTGTTCCCTCTCTCACTGTGTCTCTCTCTGTCAAATAAATAAATAAAATCTTAAAAAAAAAAAGAATAAAAGAACTTTCAATAATTCTATCACTGAGGAGGGATAAAAAAAGGGGGGAGAATCATGCAGTACAGAGTATTAAAAGCCTTGGGAGAGATGCTAAGTGTTCATTTAATTGTTTTGCAGGAACTCAAGGTTTCCTCCTGAAGCCAACTGGAACCAGTCAGGACACTGACCTCCCTTCCCTTAGAGCCCAACAAAATGCAGTTAACCCTCCCTTACTTCATAACTTCCTTTATCTAATTTTGAGTCACGTAACTCCTCTCCCCTTTACTCAGACCCTTTTCCACTTGTTAAAAATCCCTGGCTCTCCTGCTTCAGGGAGGCGAACTTGAGGCTTGTCTTCCTGGCTCCTCATTTGGCTGCAAGAATAAACTCTTGCCTTGCTGCACCCTTGAGGTCTGTTTCAATGATCAGCTTTACTGCGCATCGGGCACTTGAACTTGGGTTTGGTTACAAAATGGGGATGTACAGAGTTTCAACTTTACAAGTTGAAGCATCTGGAGATGGATGGTGGTGATGGGTGCACATCATTATGAATGTATTTGGTACCACTGAACTAATTATAAATGGTGAAAATGGTAAATTTTATGTCATGTGTATTCTGCCACGATAGAAAAAAATTTAAATTAAAAACAAATAGAAAATGAAAACCACTGGGGGAAAAGAGGGGGGAAGAGGAGCCTCAAGAGGTTCAAGGAGGAGCTGCTGGAGAGGAAGAAGGGAAATTGGAGAAGAGTGGCTTCACTGAAGGTTTCAAGGAGAAATGCCGAGAGGCAGCAGAGAAGACGCAAGGCAAGAATGATGCCCGGCCAGGAGGCACTGTGGAAGGGTAAGGAGACAAATAAAGGTGCTAACAAGTGAGTGTGGATGCCCCAGGCAGGTGCACAGCTAACTTTGCCATTTGGATGGAGATGGGGTGTTCTGGAACCCCAGCCTCTGGCTCTTCTCCTACCCATCCCGCGTGTCCATGATTTCACCTTTCCTGTTTCTGTCCTGTCAGAATTTGAAATTGGTGATACAGCAGTTCTTGATATGGGTCAGTGGGCAGGCACAGATCCCTTTGACAATCTTAGAAAAGCTGTAAGGCCCTCCCATAAAAAACACACATTAGCCTGTATCTGCACAATTGTGCAGGTGGATCCCCTTGCGAGGCCTGTAGGACTCCCTCCCTGACGCCCCCAGAGCTTCCGTGCAGCTCCACCATAACAGTGCCCCGTAACTTGACCCGCAGTGCAGAAATTCCCAAAATTGTTGTAGTTCACAAGAGATAACGTCAATTAGATAGCACTATTTACTTGGGTGGCCCATCTGTAGCAGATTTGGCTCATAAAGTCTTTGAAGGAGGAAGAATTTTAACCAGAACCTGAAGGATGTATCTGACTAGAAAGGTAAGAACTTGAAAGTAGGGGTGCCTGGGTGGCTCAGTTGTTAAGCATCTGCCTTCCGCTCAGATCATGATCCCAGGGTCCTCGGATCGAGCCCCACATCGGGCTCCCTGCTCCGTGGGAAGCCTGCTTCTCCCTCTCCCACTCCCCCTGCTTGTGTTCCCTCTCTTGCTCTGTCTCTGTCAAATAAATAAAATCTTTAAAAAAAAAAAAAGAACTTGAAAGTAGATAGCATCTCCCCGGGAAAAACACAAAGGTTGTGGTGGTGAGATGTAGCCACCTTCCTCTTTTCCTCATATCCATCAGCAAACACAAATTGATCGGGGCACCTGGATGGTTGTCACTTGAGCCTCTGATTCTTTTTTTTTTTTCTTTAAAGATTTTATTTATTTATTTGACAGAGAGACACAGCGAGAGAGGAAACACAAGCAGGGGGAGTGGGAGAGGGAGAAGCAGACTT